CTCATGAGTCTCTAGTACTTTTAATGCGATACCTGATCTTTTCTCGCAGACAACGTAGGGGAAGTCACTCGATTTCCTCAATGTAATTGTTCAAGTAGATTAACCCTTTAAATCCCACGCCCGAGTATACTCGCGATAGCTCCGTGGACTGTATCACCTTCAGTCCAATTCTGGCTCCAATACACGCACGCACGCAGCTAGGAAACTCGGGAGTTAAAGGGTTAAACAGTTCAGGGAAACTCCTGACAATTGTGGAGGAAGCATGATTCAAATGGGGACCTGACTTGATGGGGTGAGGATAATTGATAACTATTGCATTGATTATGACCATGGTCGGACTGACCCTCGGGGATACCGGATACCGGATTCCGAAGCAATAAAATTTAATAATAACTAAAGTGCATTTATGATTTAAATGATTCACCTTGTTCTAGGGCCCCTCATTTATTATTAGAATATTTCCCAGAGGGCCCCTAGGTCGCCGTTCCGACCCTGACTTTGACGGCTGCGTGTGACCTTCCATCAGGTATGTAAATCCGAGTGTGATGAAAGATCTTAGTGTCTCCAATCCGAACTTACTACGTTGAAAAGGCCTCTCATGGTTGCTCGTTAATTAGGTGGTGTTCCCCGCCTGTCGATAAATCAGAAAGGAACTCGGAAGCCTTCAGTGGTGGACCTAGGTCTAAGATGACCATTTTCTACCGATAAGCTCGAGTTAAATATACACATTTAACAAAGTTAAAATCATTTATAAGTGATGCCTCCACTTCCAAGGTGCCGCATGCCACTGTTTTACGAAGGGATGAAGGGAAAGTCATCCCCTTCCCTTGTCGGAAAGGAAGACAGATGACTTGATGATGAGAGTTAAAGGATTAAAAGCGTAGCTATGTTGGGCCAGATAGACTGTACTGAAAGGATGGCACCTGACAAGCACTTCCAGAGCGGAAAAGTAACCATACAAAAAAAACTTATATGAGTGATGGATGTAATCAACCAAGCAGCGCAAAAGTAGTGGGCCATAAACGGCCCAGGCACTGGCGGATTCATGCCGGGGGCGGGAACGTGGCGGCAAGTTGGACATGCAGTTGCTGACCCGCTACCTATTGTAGGTAGGAGGGCCATCAGCTCAGAGAGAGCTGGTGGCCCTCCACCAGTTCAGGGTGGAGAATGTAACTGGCACTTTGCTAGATGCAGTACCAATAATCCCTAATAGATGGTACCTAGTTCCCTGCAGCTTACTAATGCAATGAAGTACCTGCCTTCCTGATTTAGCAAAGTGTTTCTTCCTGGTTTTTCCTTTTTTAAATGTGCAATGTATAAACAGGCAGGGCCTGATTAAGGGGGGGGGGGGGCAAAGGGGGCAGTTGCCTTGGACCCCACTCTTCTAGGGGGCCCCTGTAGGAAATTAAAAACGTTAAGTAAACAAAAGTATTGTATTTCCGTAAAGTAGCGGGGGAGCCAGGAATTCACTTGCCCCAGGCCTTGCAACTTCTTAATCCGGCCCTGTAAACAGGTTCAAGGAAATCGTGGAATTATGATGTTTTGATTGCAATATAAGATTCGGGGAATTATGCAATCCTGAAGTTATGTATGGGCAGGGCCGGCCTTAGACATGTGCCGTATGTGCCCCCGCACAGGGCGCAAATTCACCAGGGGCGCCAAAACGTGACTGAATATGCAGGGTGGGCCAAAAAAAAACAAAGTTATAATATTTCGTGAGTTGTCAATCTGATTGTAGGCAGCCAATTCTTATGAAATTTGATCGGGACATAGGATGGTTCAATTAGGGTTTGTGTGCCAAGTTTCGAATCAAAACTCCAAAAACTGTGAGATTGCATTTAATTTACTTTTCATCACAAAAAAGTAAGAGTTCATTTTTTCGTTCAACTGAAATCTCTCACAACTGACAAAAATAAACAAGCAAACAAACAAAACAAAAACAAAATGCACAAATGCCAAAAACGAAAGCACACAATTTGGTTTAGGTTGGTTCATTTAAACTGAAAAGGTGCTCAATGTGCCTTCCATTTTGTTAAGCCTCTCGTTTGGGACGCCACAGATCAAGAGCTCGGTCAATAAATCTTTGAGGCAGTGCCTCCCAATCTTCCTCTATAGCACCATGCAGGGATGGAAGGTCATGAATCCGGTCCTCCCTTTCATCCCGGTCCGAAGTTGATATCGCTGTTTTCGACAGCACATTTTGTTGTGGCTCATCAGAAAATGACTACAGCTCCTATATCATTAAAGCCAGAAGGTTTAAATTCGGCATAAAAATTCCAATTGTGCCAATCTATAAACCTACAAAATTTAATCAGAATCGGCAACCTACAATGAGATTGACGACACACTAAAAATGGCAGTTTTTTTTTACCCACCCTGTATGAAGCAGTAATGGAAGCCACCCTCTGTTTTACTTTAGAAAGAGGAAATGCCTTCCGTTTCAGCGTCATTTTGAACGTTAGGGATTCACCCTTCTCCCTTCTGAAACCCCCTTTGGGGGGAGGGGGGGGGGCATTCGGAGTCTCTTTGCACAGGGCGCCGAATAGGGCCGGCCCAGTGTATGGGAATTCAGAAGTGTACAGGACTAGGGAATCGTAGAGAAACTTCAGTCACCCAATGTCTTATTATGTATGTGACAAGCCTGCTTGCTCGAAAACTTCAACTCAACCCCCATCCTCCCGCCTAGGGGTCCTTATAGAATGAGGAAGAGGAGGACAGTGGGTCATCTTGGTACTCTTCTGGGTAAGCTCCAGAACCAAGATTTTAAGATAATTTTAGATAATTCGAATATATGTGGAGGCATTAGGAGCTTGTGGTACACCATACGAGCTAACTGGTAATGTGTTGGCCCTTAAGCGGCCCAGTGCTGGCAAGTGGGACGCCTGCCTGATGGCCCACAGCCCAGGGAAGTTGGTGGACCACCAGCTCTCTTCCCCAAATGTTGGTAGTGGGCCACAACCTACGTACTGCTTGGGGGGTTCATATCCCTTGTGAATTGTGAGTGTCTCAGAAAGAGGCAATCGAGGGAGGTAGTACTCGCTGGAGTAGACACTTCCAGCTGGACCAAGGGAAACTCGACGACAATGTCACCGGTAGGTGAACAGAACAATGATGAACAAATATAGAAGCTTACTTGAGACCCCTTCTAAGCACCTGATAGTCATGCCGCACGTCAGTGTTTGATGTTGACCTAATGTGGACTCTCAACGTGGGGCTTAGGGATAAGCCTACAAGGGTCCAACATTGGTTTCTGACGTTCGGCCCACATCGCACGTGCGGAAATCCCGCGTAGTCCCTACGTTGGCCCAACGTGGGTTTTTTGCCTGGGCTTCTTCGGGATTCCCTGAACGAACGTGTTGCAACCGTGAAACTGAGAATTCTTTTCCTTGCTGTGTCTGGCCTAATTACCTAATTTTCATTATTTTGTCTACTCATGACCATGTACCAAAATGATCGACCGTTTGTAGGAAACAGTAGGAAATGGCACATTCATGAGCTTTTCCATTAGTTCATTTGACTTCTAAACCCGCAGAATTTTTGAGCTAACATCATGCTGAGGCTCCCTAGCTGTTATAAAGTCACTTTGCGACTTTAGTTCAAATTTGCGCTCGAATGACCTTTTTCTTCAGTATTGGAATAATAAGCGGTAAGGCTGTACATTGACCGAAGGCGGTTAAAATGTGAGGCGTAAAATATAAAACTTTGTCAGTGGAGAGTTTATAACGCCCATTCATTGCAACAATGAGATGTATTGCAGCCTAAAACGCAACAGTAGAGAAGATGGCGGGGGAAAGAGAACGATCGAAGACCTCTGGCAAACCGACTCCTCTTCGAATGCGCCCACATCCTGTTCTTCCTCTGCAGCGACAGAGCAGTGTCTGGTCCACCTACTCGGCTGCGTATCAGAAAAACGCCAACATGGTACGGAGATTTGTCATATGTTTCTCATTGCCGTATGAGTTTTTAGTTAGGGATTTTCACATTAGCTCGTGTCATTTATTAAGTAATGGAATGTTGCTCCTATCGTATATCCAAAGAAAGAGTATGTCTCCGGGGTTGGAATAACATTAGGCCTATATGATTTAACTTGATAGTCCCTAAGGAAAGTATCGTCGGTTCTGCCTATACGATTTTTTCCCCGCTAGAGTTTGACACTTAAAGTACTTCAATACCTGTTATGTCGCCTTGCATGGGTGTCAAAGACGAAAAACGTATATTGGGTAGGCGTCTGCTGAGAATAGAGCAGATGAACTTTGCTCTTATTAGCCATACTGAAGGGCGTTTAACTAACATTACCCCTTTCTTGGTTGTCGCTATTCCTAAAGTTAGACCAAAATAATGTTACCACCTGTCCCATTAATTAACGTAAGTACGCGAAAGTCGACCCGTGCACGAATTTGGACGGAATTCCGGTTCACTTCACGGACCTCGCCATTATAATGTCATACTGCCCTCTGTGTCTTCGTCGTCGAATCCGTGTTTTAAGCGAAGCTTAAAATGTGTCTCACAAAGAATACATCGTTGTTAAATCCGTATAGTCAACCGGAAACGAGCTCCCCCCCCCCCCCCCCCCCCCCCTCCCGCCTAGGGGTCCTTATAGAATGAGGAAGAGGAGAACAGTGGGTCATCTTGGTACTCTTCTGGGTAGGCTCCAGAACCAAGATTTTAAGATAATTTTAGATAATTCGAATATATGTGGAGGCATTAGGAGCTTGTGGTACACCATACGAGCTAACTGGTAATGTGTTGGCCCTTAAGCGGCCCGGAAGGTGGCGGCCCAGTGCTGGCAAGTGGGACGCCTACCTGATGGCCCATAACCCAGGGAAGTTGGTGGACCACCAGCTCTCTTCCCCAAATGTTGGTAGTGGGCCACAACCTACGTACTGCTTGGGGGGTTCATATCCCTTGTGAATGGTGAGTGTCTCAGAAAGAGGCAATCGAGGGAGGTAGTACTCGCTGGAGTAGACACTTCCAGCTGGACCAAGGGAAACTCGACGACAATGTCACCGGTAGGTGAACAGAACAATGATGTACAAATATAGAAGCTTACTCGAGACCCCTTCTAAGCACCTGATAGTCATGCCGCACGTCAGTGTTTGATGTTGACCTAATGTGGACTCTCAACGTGGGGCTTAGGGATAAGCCTACAAGGGTCCAACGTTGGTTTCTGACGTTCGGCCCACATCGCACGTGCGGAAATCCCGCGTAGTCCCTACGTTGGCCCAACGTGGGTTTTTTGCCTGGGCTTCTTCGGGATTCCCTGAACGAACGTGTCGCAACCGTGAAATTGAGAATTCTTTTCCTTGCTGTGTCTGGCCTAATTACCTAATTTTCATTATTTTGTCTACTCATGACCATGTACCAAAATGATTGACCGTTTGTAGGAAACAGTAGGAAATGGCACATTCATGAGCTTTTCCATTAGTTCATTTGACTTCTAAACCCGCAGAATTTTTGAGCTAACGTCATGCTGAGGCTCCCTAGCTAACTGTTATTAAGTCACTTGCGACTTTAGTTCAAATTTGCGCTCGAATGACCTTTTTCTTCAGTATTGGAATAACAAGCGGTAAGGCTGTACATTGACCGAAGGCGGTTAAAATGTGAGGCGTAAAATATAAAACTTTGTCAGTGGAGAGTTTATAACGCCCATTCATTGCAACAATGAGATGTATTGCAGCCTAAAACGCAACAGAGGAGAAGATGGCGGGGGAAAGAGAACGATCGAAGACCTCTGACAAACCAACTCCTCTTCGAATGCGCCCACATCCTGTTCTTCCTCTGCAGCGACAGAGCAGTGTCTGGTCCACCTACTCGGCTGCGTATCAGAAAAACGCCAACATGGTACGGAGATTTGTCATATATTTCTCATTGCCGTATGAGTTTTTAGTTAGGGATTTTCACATTAGCTCGTATCATTTATTAAGTAATGGAATGTTGCTCCTATCGTATATCCAAGGAAAGAGTATGTCTCCGGGGTTGGAATAACATTAGGCCTATATGATTTAACTTGATAGTCCCTAAGGAAAGTATCGTCGGTTCTGCCTATACGATTTTTTTCCCCGCTAGAGTCGGACACTTAAAGTACTTCAATACCTGTTATGTCGCCTTGCATGGGTGTCAAAGACGAAAAACGTATATTGGGTAGGCGTCTGCTGAGAACAGAGCAGATGAACTTTGCTCTTACTAGCCATACTGAAGGGGGTTTAACTAACATTACCCCATTCTTGGTTGTCGCTATTCCTAAAGTTAGACCAAAATAATGTTACCACCTGTCCCATTAATTAAAGGAAATCACAGGGTTCATGATAATGTTAGTCTTGAAGGATAATCCCACTTCCTTTGGAAACCTTCAATAGGACCCACTCTGTCCCATTCAACTGTACTGTAGGAAAATAATGAATTTTCCAAGTATAGTAGAATGGTATTACTTATTGCAACTTGAATATGTATAGCATTACATTAACAACTCTGACATACCTCTTCTGCATGGCAACACTGTGTGCTGCTGAAAGATTCAGAAGTGAAAGTCTCAGACAGAAGCCTCTGTACAGTCTCAGAACAAAACACAATGTTGGCTTTGTCTGGATATCGTGAATTTAGACAGGAAATGGGCAGGTATAATGTAATTGGTGGGAGTGGTACTAGGGTCTTGTGTTGTTCAATATAACCTTTTTGGGTATGCCGTCTTTCTCACCCAAGAACTCCTCTTCACTAATGCACCTGTTCTTGATGTCACAAGAAGTAGCAATAAAGTAACTGGCAAGTGACAGAGAACATTATGATTTGGAGGTGAGGGACAAAGCAGTCTTCTTCAGTGGCAATCCCAGAACCCACCTGCACTGCTGACAGTCTCTTACTCAGTTCCTAGCATGTGGCTACTGTTGGATTTTTAAGCACAGTCTTCATCCTACCAGTGATGAATAAATATCCAGTATGACATCAGCTATCCTTTCCATATTAGAAGTATATACTGTAATTATTCCATCTGCCCTATGAGTATGGGTTTGGATATTCAAGGTACCTGATGGAAGAGGATTTTTAATAAATGTACTAAGAGGGTAGGGCTAGATATTTAGAGAAGCCTATGGACAAGTAGCACTTGGAACCTCTGGTATATCTGATATTTCAAAAGAAAAATTTTAAATAATGTATTGGTAAGTTAGGTAAACAAAAATAGATTAAATATTTATTTGAATGAAAACCCCATCTCCCTTATGCTAGACCTATTATTCCTTTTTAGACCATTGTCTCAGTGTTTGAAACATTGCTCAGGAATTTAGAGCTACTTATCTCGATTTTTTTTTCTGCATCCATCATATTGGAAATATTTCAATTTTTCCTAGGATCTGCTTTGCATTCATTCCAACTGGAATTCAGGCATTAAATGCATTTCTTGAATGATGCACTTGTTGGGTATTTTACATTGATGACAGTCCTAGTTCTTTCTAGGTTTTGTCCAGCATTGGTAACTTTGAAAAATCTGTGATCCACTTGAATTTATCTTTGCAGGCGTTGGTCATCCCAGACAACTTCCAGCATATCCTTCGTATTATGAATACCAACATCGATGGCAAGCGGAAGGTGATGTTTGCCCTCACTGCCATCAAGGGTGTTGGCAGGAGGTATTCCAACGTTGTGTGCAAGAAGGCTGATATTGACTTGTCAAAGAGGGCTGGTGAACTGACTGAAGAAGAGGTAAGATACTGTATTGGATAATTCGCTCATAAAGTATCTTCCAATAATGGTTTTGCATCATTGGGTACATGTATGATGTACAGACCTGTCAGATAGCATCTACAAGCTATAATTGGAACCATGACTCAGCATTGTCTTTATGAATTCCAAGTGCCATGAGGTCCACGTGGATTGGTAACTCTCTGCAGGGCATAGAGAGAGGCATAGTCATCCATCATGTTTCAGTTCCTTCAGGATCCACATATATACACCATCAAGGAAGTGGTTAATCCAGCTGGCAATAACCATTCATCCCATGATTGATGTCCAACTCTAGTAGTGTTTTTGTTTTTGTCTGTCTTTGTATCTATTTGTTCTGAGTTTTCTCTCCACTATCATAATTTTAGGTATGAGATTTGATATCTGAAAGTAAGATTGTGTAAGCTAGAGGTGCACAACACAAGGCCTGTGTGTCATATACTGCCTGCAAAGATCTTGCCCACAGCCCACCATGATGGTGGCATTGTTAGTACTACTATGGCTCCTGCCCTGTTGGCCACAGCTATGGTCAGGCAAACTAGCAGAAGGAGGGATGATCTAGTGGCTTTCTCTCAAAAATCTCAAGTGGCCCTCAGTCTTTTGAGTTTTGCACCCCTGGTGTTAGCCATCATTGTAGTCCTTGTCAGCTATCCCAATACTCTTAGGAGATAGATGCCTTGAGGGATCCTTCAGGCTTCTGCACAGATGAGACTTCAGGACAAGAGAGCTGATATTATGACTTCCTGCTGACTGTCATAATTGCAAATAAAGCTACTCCACTATGGATGCCATTTAGATGCCTAGTTGAACTTTCCTGGGGAAAAAGCATAGCTCTATCATTAACAGCTTTCAAGGGTGCCTTTTTCTATGATATACCATTCTGTTATGGTCATATATGGAATTGCCTTCACATGACTGTTTTCTGTTTCTTTTAGGTTGAGAAACTGCTGACCATCATTTCAAATCCTCGTCAGTACAAGATCCCTGATTGGTTTCTCAATCGTCAGAAGGACATCAAGGATGGAAAATACTCCCAGGTGAGATGATAGTTAAGTCAAGGCTTTTTTGGGAAATGTAAACATTGATCACAGTTCCTACACTTATGACTAAATCATCAGAAGGAAATACTCAAGAGGCTAAAAAATACTTTTCCTTGAAGGAAGAAGAGTCAGTATGAACCAATGAATGATGAGTGAATGCTCTAGTGCTCAGTGTAAGAACAATCTTGACTGACCACTTCAGGCTGAAAGGCTTGACAGATTGATCTAAAAAAAAATATGTTGGCACCTGTCCATATGGGGAAAGCTCAGGTTACTTGAGTCTTTCACCCTATATAATACCTATCACTTACCTGTTTTGACTCGCACTCGGGCACTCAAGCAACCATAATACAATGGAGATCTTTTGATCTCCATGCAGGTTAAATGTTAGACCTTTAGCTGGCAAACTGATGATCCTATGAGATGTAGCAGAAGTATGGTGATTGCATGACCAATGGAGCTTCAATAACACAACTACAGTGCCAAATTTGCTTTTGAAATTTTGGCAGTAAAATCAAGGAAAGATAAGAGAGGATGAGGGAGTGCTGTTCTTCCCTAGATAGCACCCTTGAATTGGTTATTGGTATTGAGGATAAATACATGCATCATTACACAACTTGTCATAACAGCAGCAAAATTATATATCAACAGTGGAGTTCCGCTTTTGAGTTATTGCTGTATTTGGTAACAGTGAGTATGTGGGTGTATTGTATTGCTCTCTAGGTTTTGCTGGGACATTTCTTGCTATTTTGCAATTAGATGTTGAGGTTTAGCAAGTTTTTCTTCACAAATTGACAAGTCTGAATTTAAAATTTTCAGTAGACTTCAGCTACACAGAAGTATGCAGATTGGATTCCTTGGGATCTGTTCATGATTTGCAATGTAATGTCTGCTAATGTGTGCATGGCATTCCAGAGCAAAAAACTATGCATCTCTATGAAACGTAGAATAACATCATTGGAACAAAAAAGAAACATGGGCCTCATAATGGGGCACTTCTGACAAATTGCACAAAGTTGTGAAAAGTTCATTAGCCTACATATGAATGCCCTACTTCAAATCCATAATGCTGCCTTCTGTGTTGAGTCTGTTCCAAGTAATAATGTGCAGGTGGCATGTGCATTTATGCATTACTTGACCTCTTAGGGACTATTATTAGGATGATATTACTAAACCTTTGTGGGAGAATAGACCCATTGAGGTGTAAAACTGTTTCAAGCTTGCAATGTTGGTTATCTAATAATTTTTTCATTTCAGGTTCTGTCAAACGTCTTGGAGACCAAACTGCGTGAAGACTTAGAGAGGCTGAAGAAGATCCGTGCTCATAGAGGTCTGCGACACTATTGGGGGTATGTGTTTGTTTCTTCAAATTACTAATGATTAACTCCAGCATATCCTTTACACACTTTTTGCCTTTTTTATTTATTATTTATAAAGGTGTGTGCTTGAAATGCCATGAAAGAAATCTTATTTGTTCCCCTTTGTATTTTATTTTTGTTGATTTTTTGCTTTATCATGTAAGTTCTGTGGTTTTTTAGTCATAGGTCTTATACCATCATCCATATCCTTCATACAGTAGTTCCCACTTCCTTCAAGTTTAATTCAGTTATTATACAATTTTATATCTCCAGATTTTAAAATGATATGTGAATTTTAAATTGTTCTTACCCTGTTTTGTTTCCATACAGCCTTCGAGTGAGGGGACAACATACTAAAACCACTGGAAGGCGAGGCAAGACTGTGGGAGTATCTAAGAAGAAGGGTTAAACTTAAGATTATGTTCTGATTCCTCTTCAATAAAGCACACATGGAGTTGTGGGACTATGTTTTAAATGTCTTTCCTGGATAGTGAACAGTCATTGAAGCTTAATGAACAAATGAAAATTGAAATAGTTCTTTCTCTTTATTTAGGGATGCTCGAGGTCCTTTTAGATATTTGATGTCTATTAGAACGGTTGAAGTTGATGTGCAGGGAGAACATGGGGATAAAGAGATCATTTACCCTCTCACTTTGTGCCAACATTAAAACAAGCAACCCAAGCAAGACCTAGACAGAAAGGCTTCAGGTCTGAGCTCAAACTGGATGGGGGGGGGAGGCTAACAAGCACTGTCTCTAGAAAATGATTCAAGGGGTTGTCCAGACTACTTCTGGGATAACATTTCATGTATTTTCATGCTAAAAGTGGACTTGAGTGTGAAATCCATAACCTATAGGATAGCAAAAAATTCAGTCTCATTCATAGGTTGAAATTTAAACATGAATGTAAGACCCAGGGAACTTTGATCAACATTAAACCTGTTTCCAAGAGAGACCTTTCTAAGAGCTACAGCTGACTTGGCTGGTCCATTTGGAAGTGGGATGGATCATTTGACTGGAATATCAAATAATGAATGCAGATGCACCTAAAAATAAATGACATAGAATCACATGAAATAGATCTCATATGGCAAAATGAAATCGGGTTAGACTCAATCATCCCAACATAATTGAATCCAGTGGCTGGAGTTTGATTATAACGCAATGAATAAAAGAACGTTTGTTACTGATTTTCAATGGATTGCATCCCTCCAATTAGATCACTGATTTAGCTAGGGGCAGTAATTTTGAGACAGCATATTTCGCTTAGTTGGATGGCATGTGGTGCCATTCAGATAGGGTTGCCACCTTTGAATTTAACAAAATATTCGAAATATGCCCTAAACCTTTGAAATCAAGGTGCCAATCGATACTGTGTGTGGCCTACTGCTTTTGACTTACAGCAAATAACGATATTAGCTGCTATTAAGCTTTATTAAATAAATAAAATCTTGAATTTAAATATGGACAAATCACAGTGTCCATATTAGGACCAGTTTGGAGTATGGACATAGTATCTGAAATATGTACTGTCTATACTAATTGTGAACGGGTGGCAACCCTATATTCAGAAGGGGGTGCAATCAATCGAAAATCAAGTTTTTATTCCTGGTTGGTTTGAGAAATAGTAGGTTTTGAGTCTCAAAGCTTGGTATTGGAGGATCATCTTGCGTAATTACTAATTAGGATCTTTCGAGAATCGTACATATGTTACCTTAGTCTGTTGCGCACGTTTCCGAATGGTTTAATGACTGCACTTCTTGGTACATCTTGAGTTTCTCTTTTCAAATTAAATATTGAGCGCTTTCATCGTGTGAAGAACGGCAACTCGACCAATCTCCCCTCTCTTCAAAAATACTTGCGTGCACCATCGAGCGTAAGCAGCGGTGTAGCGTTTAGGGAGCATGTTTCCCCCTCCCACCCGCGACCAACTAAAATCAAGGCAAAAGCAAGGAGAAGACTGGTCATTTGGTCTGGGGATGGTCATAGGCTAGGTGGTGTTTCAAAATGTGGACATCCAGCGGTACCGCATTTAGTGTAGATTTCGCTGATTCACTACAATAGACTCCCCAAAGGGGTAAAAATTTGGGGGTTCATTAAAAAAAATCTCAAGTTATAACATGCAGCTTGCAACTGGAATTTTCCAATTGGTTTTGTAGTAAAAGCGACATATTTTAAACAGTTTCGAGCCAGGTTTGCCAAGAAGGCATTAAAACAATATTAGTGTTTTTCACTTGAGTTAGACATTTTTTCACTTGACTTCGACAACGGTGCATGGTGAGGGTGATATAGGGGATCGACGCAGAAAGTAGAAGTTCCATACTCAAGTGCAGATGTCCCGTGATGACATTGGCGACAACGATGATCAGGAGTCAGGAGAGTTAGTGATATCAAGAGGCGATTTCGCCCATNACTGAAGCATATCCTTTGAAATATGACTGACCTGTCTGTAGAATCACAAAGATCTTACACTGATGGTCAGAAGATCATACTGGTTATTTCTTCCCATGTCTCTGAAGTTGTACAAGGAATTGACACTTCATATTAAAATTTTCATTCTATTCCTTTACTATACATAACTTTCTTCTCTACCATGCTGTTCCCACTCATGATTCATTCTTACTTTAGACTGTTTCATCAGAGGAAGTGGTGGATATACTTGCTGAGATGCCTTCAGAGCCATTATTAGCCCCTTTGCCCATATATTCATAGCCTCATTTACCAAAAATATAATTCTTGAAGTACTGAATAATGGGAAACTGACACTGCTTTATAAGTGAGAATCAAGTTGTCATTGAAAACCATTGATCTGCCAAAATCCCTTCAGTTTGCAAAAGGCCTAGGAAAAGTTTTACATATTTGCATTTTTGTCAATCTGTTCTTGAAGAATATACATATCATGCTTTCAATTTAGCTTTAGGAAAGGCCTCAGCATATGACATGCAATCATGGAGCAATCAAAATTTCACCTTTGGATTCACTTGACTGTGGAAGCTTCCACCAATATCTTCTACAATCTAGCATTTGACAACATTAATCACCACACCCTTCTAAAGTAGCTTAACCATGATGGCTTTTGGGGCATTTGGCTTCAATGGTACTTCTTATGTTTGCCCAATTACTCTGTCACTGCCCAGTATTCTAATTGATCTAAATAAAATTTGTTTGATAATAAAAAAATATTCTGAACCCTTTTAAAATAGCTCTGGGATTCTCCAGGGTCCTTTGTGAAATTTTTTGTAAATGATTTAATCATCAGCGAAGTTTTTTTTTCCTTACTTAAGGCATAACTATCTTGGCTTATGAGTCTGAGCAGCAGATTTCACCTTTCCCTCATCATGACATGAGGAACAACATGACAAACAACATTTCCACAATTTGCTTCAACCAAAACGTTGGTCTCAAAGATGGCTTCAATAAAATCAGTATCTGGGCCTCATCCCCACTCCCTTCACTTTTCTAGCCCATGGTGAAGCACAGGGTGCCTGCAATTTCATTTGGTGATTTCAACAAGTTGTCTTTTACTAAAATAAATATATGTTTAATCTGTGATTTGAATTAAATTCAGCAAAGAGGCAAGCTTTGTTTCCATTTGATGCAGGTTAACACTGGGCCTTCTTAACCATAGAGGAATGGATCCATGTGGTTATGGGCAGCCAAGTGAGAATCATTGATAGGAACTATACTTGAATTTCAAGGATTAAATGGACAATTGCCCCCAAGAGTAAATGTTTTTGTTGCTTTGCATTTATGGAACAGGTCCCTGATGGCATGTACACATGGTATGTCAAGTGGCAGTCTTCTATGCATTTAAATTCATTTATGGATGCCCCTGGTAATTCTTGTTTGACCATCTATCACTTGGATCCATTCATCTAGGAGTTAGCACAGTTAATTAGCACAGTGCCCATGTTAATTTTCAGTGGTGGCTTTGAAAATAGATGTATGTACAGTATATCTTTAATCATGGGGGTAATGGATGAGTCCAGCACAAACACTGCTAGGCTTGCATTTCATTTTTGAGGTAGAGAATATTACTAGAGAATATTACTTTTCTTCATATTATAGGGCAGCAAATCTTGCATTGGTAGCTTAGTCCCTGAGGAGACAGACACGTTCTGATCAAAAGTTCTCAATGCTTCCCACCCTTTTCCTGCATCCTACCCGTAGTTATAGTTGCATGGTGAGATTCCTTCCTAACTTCATCACCCATAGAATCCTATGTCAGCCAGGAGCCAGAGACCTTTTGGCTTTTAGGTGTTTGATTGTTTCATCTGCCAACATGAGCTCCAGTGCACAAGGGAGATTTCAGTTGGCCAAGAAGTACCATGGATTGGAAAGGAATGTATGGT